CCAATCTACAACTCTTCTCTGAGCTTGGATTGTGTGGGGATAGGTCGCCCCGGCCTCGTAATGTCTCACTGTAATTCAACGGCACCAAGCAGCGGACTTGTTTTGGGGGAAGGGGGAGGGGTTTACTATTTTTTGGGCAAATTCGCTAATATTGTTTGCAACTTCGTTTACTGCCTACTGGCCAATGGAGGGATCTACAGCCGGTCCTTAGCGCGACACAAATCCCTACACTGCCGGTCTCTCCGCCTCTCCTCGCTGTATCATTCCCTGTTATGCCATGTTTCTCGACGAATAATGGCCATCAGCGTCCCTGAATGAATGAATTCAACAGATGCTAGCCCATGGTTCCACGCATCACGGTAATCAAGCACTGTCCCAAGTTGACACAGTAGTCTGAAAATCGAGATCACAAGATATCTCGTTCCCTTGAAGCAACGTCCTGGGATCGAAATGATGGGCCATAAACAGCTCGTGGAGGACTCGCAGCCTCGTTCTGATTCGCGAGGAAAACAGCGGAAGAGGCTAGTAGGAGACTAGACTATCGCAAGAGAATAATTCGATGATATGGCAACCTGGGCACATGGGAAAGCGAGCACCAGAATGCATTTGTTTCAGCGCACTTCGGGTATTGATATTAGAAATCGGATATCTGCGCATTTTTCTGGAGTCGGACCGACCCGGCAGTCTCGGAGTCTTTTTTGTTCTGTTGCTCCTCATCCTAGAAATTTCTACAGACTTAGTATGATGTCCGACATCGTAGGTACGGCTTGGACGGTTTGACAATGGCGTGACATATATTCAATTTATCGTAACACGTCCTAAAAAGATTGCTAGAAATCCTGCCGGGAGGAGCCATCTAGGTTCATCCGTCATTAAACGTAATGTCATGAATGCAAGGATATCCTGGCAGCTAGGTTAGCCAGCGGATCAAGAGCTACAGGTCAGTATCTTCGAAGAAGCGTGAAAGCCTTCTGATCGCCGATGATCTTCTAAGATTATGAGCAACTGGACCAACATAACACCATAGCTCAGATAACGGGTGCGACTCGGCTTGTGCGGCCCAAGTCAGAGGGCAGAATCCTTCGGAATCCTTCCAAATGCACGTTTGCCATTATGAGTACCATGGGTAGCCAATATTAGCTGCTGACATCCGATGGCGTCGCTGTGGAAGAGCCTCCAACTAGCGGCCGGTGCCGGCACAAGGACCTGGTCCTGAGATGTCTTGAACTTTCGCACTGCGGATGGGGTTCGATTTGAGGAAATTGTGCGTGCAGATAACGCTCAGATCCCGTGCTCAAATGACAGGTCAAGCCATGCTGGTTACTTTTCGCATCTTTGTGCTTCTGATTCTCGATGTCCACAGCTAGCGCTCTTGGTGAACGGATCTTGACAGATCTGGGGGTCGAGCTTTTGTTTATTGCTCCTGTGGGCTCGCTTGTTCCTGCTGCGATGCGCTAAGGCTTCGTCGGAAAAAAGTCCGAAGAGAGGCTTCAGATTGGTCGTTAAGGTACTGCGTACATTCCCAAGATGACTTTCAGTATTTCTCGCATGTGAGAGTCTGTCTGGGAATTTGTGAAACATTTCCAAAGCTCGCATAGATGCAACCCCAGATATTGCAATATTGGCAATTACCGGAAATATTCATTCGCCACATGTCAGACGGTCGACGCATGCACGTTCCCATTTGCCCATGGCTGGTTGGTTGTCTTGGTGGACCCAGGTATGGAGAGAGAACGCCTTTGCTTGCTACGATGACAAGCTGAGCCTGTCAATTACGGCTCTGATGCCCGAAAATCCACTCTCGCGTAGGAATTCAGCTTTAGTGTTTCAAAATTCCATAGGTTATGCTTCTCTGTTCAGAGTAAGAACGCCTAGTCGACAAAGAAACCCTTCTGAGGGGGAAAAGCTTAGGCGGTGGCGTAAGCCTCATCGGACAAATCTCCGGGGTCAGATTTGAGCGCTTGCGTGCCAAGTGCTTGAGCGTTGGGGTAAGGCTATACGCGCACGGCGCTTCAATCGAACGGTGAAAAGCGCGCGTCGGTGTCTTGCCGTTGAACCAAAATTCGAGTTCGTTCGGGTACTAGATACTTTGAAACATGTCTCTGCAAAATGGGACTGGAGCGCAAAAAGTCATCGCGAAGGCCGTACTCGCGATCTCTTTGCCTGCTTGGCGATTGACACGACTGACCTCAGCCTTCTACGATCAGTATATATGCTGTGCAATGCATTTTTGAAAAGTCAAACCATTTATACATACCTAAAATTTCTGTCTCGAATATGCATCGCTCAACCGCTTCCATCCTCAGAACAGTCTTTACTGCTACCCTCTTCCAATGCTTTGTCAATGGACAACAGCTTATCGGCAGCATCTTGCACTCTGGAGTTGAGGGTGATGGGATGGTTTTGGTGACCGTGGAGAACAACGGCACGAGCAATTACTCAGTCGAGGCAAGGAACAACCTTTTCGACACGAATTCTCCTTATGAGCCGATGAACGTGTCGAGTCTTGCAGGTACACAAGTCCAGCTCGTCGGTGCCGAGTATCCGTACGGGCTATTGACCGATGCATCCTTCGTCCAATTGCCAGCCGGAGCAATATGGCAACGAGAGCTCAACATCACGGCGTACATGCCTACGGACATGACCATTACCAAGCCTACCGCATCATGTTATTACGTGACATTCCCCGACGGCTTTTGGGCCATCGACACAACTGGCATGCCATCAGGAGAAAATTTGGCCACGGAATTCCTCACCCCGGGTGCGAGTCGACTCGTAGACTTGTACATCGCCTCGAATATACTGCATCTCAACGTCACCGCGGTACCTGGGAGTGGCGCGACTCTGACTGCTACGACAGCGGCGATCCCTCAACAACCAGCAGCAACCGAGATTGTGGGTTCACAGACGATCGGTATCGCTTCTAGTGAAACGATTGGGACGAGCATTGATCAGTACGACAATATCCTTGGAGGCTGATACATCTCGTCACAATGGGTTGCAATGTTGAAGTACCGGTTCCCAAACCCGAAGGATCTTGCACGCACAAAACTCTCGTCATGGCAGAGCAGATAGTGGAGGACAGAAGAGTTTGGAACACGGGGGACTAGCATTGCTGCAGAGTACATTTCTTTGCGAAGAACAGGACGAGGCCGTCAACGATGTACATACGCCATTTGTGAATTTGGAGATACCCGATAGAACGCTTGGTTTCAAAGGCTGGCGTATCGGTGTATGTGTTCCAAGAGAGACAAATTTGGGTAACGACACTAGAGATCTGCATTTAGTGGAAAGGCACATAATGGAGGCTATTCTGGTATCAAAAGTTTAAGTAATCTCATTGATAAAACCGCAATCAACGCGATCACCTCGGAGATTGTCAGGCCTGACCATCGTAAATCATGTTCAACCGAGTGAGCAAGGAGCAGTATGCGCACATGTCAGCGTCCACGTGAGTGTGGTCAGATCTGGAGTCATCCCCACATCAGGTGCCGGCCATGATTGGCTTCTGTGGTCCATTCCGGCCAAGCGTTGCGTCCACTGCCAGTGAATGTGGATTGGGTATCCTGGGTTCAGAACCCGCGAAAAAGCGCGCCGATGGATGAGGTACTCAATTACTCGTCCTTCCGGAAAAAGTGCGAAAGGACGGAATACGTAGTTGACGAAAGTGTTACCGTGTTGCCGTGGTCCTGTAAGTTGCTTGAACGAATGACAGACGGACACTAGCCAACTGTATTTGGTGCGCAAGAATCGAGAACTCTGGGGTAATCGCCCCTGCCAGAGCTGTCTTGGCAATCGAAGAACCTCTCTGTACCATGACCTCGGCGTTAGATCCGTGAGCAAGCCTGTCAGAAGGCTCCAGTCCGGCGATCCAAGCGCAGATTGGGGTGTTCTGGCACAGACGGCTTCTTGAGCCGCTTTGGTAATTGGTGATCCTGGCCGGTCCGAACCTCCAGACCCATGTCCGATCCCACAGGCTTACTGGTGGGTTAGTATGCTTGTTATATCGCTTGGCTTTGAGAGTTGCGATCCTCGAGTTTTGCTGGAGCTACGACGAATGATGAGCGAGGCGCTATCTGGGGGCCAGCTCCCATCCTCCATTGCTGTACAATCCGGGGGAATGCACCCGCATTGATGGTGGTTCTGAAAATCAAACAACTTCAAGAATAGCACTCCCAAAGCTAGTTGTCGTCCAGGAAGTTCGTCTCTTGAGGCTTGGGTTTGAACTTCCTCGTGTGCTGAGTTTGGACTCCCTGGTTCTTGTGCAGCAGAACCGGTTTCCATTTCACGTTGACTTGGTTCTAGGCATGAGAATCGTGTACAATCTTAGCCTTATTGCACTACAGATTTGTGCTGGTCTTTACCGACCCAGATTCTCTGGGAGACCGGAGTAGAAAGTGAACTGGCTTTCATCAGCGACACATTTGACATGATGTTGGGCTGAATAGTCTCCAGTTTATGTGAAAGCTCGTTCCACACTCTTGTTTGGGTTTTTTCACGTTTTACTCCCGTGACTAATTGAGCAGGTCCGTAAACCTCGTATTGATTTATTCGGTAATGTTGGGGCATGGCGACACGAATTCTACGACCTGACAATTGCTGAGACACTGCCCGTGCTGTTCCACTCCAGCTTGTGATGCATGAACCAGAGCCCGGCTACCGTGCTCTATTTTTCTGGGGAAAACAAGTCCCATCACCGCTGCCACAGTCTTTACCTCGCGTGTCAACGTGGAGTGACAGAAATCAGAGCTCAGGATTTTGATAATGTGACAGCTGAGTGACAGCTTTTTTTGGTAAGCTTCGCGAGTTCGCGAACGTAGTATATGTCGAGAAGCGTGGACACCACGAACCTTTTCCGCGGACTTGATCTGCCTACCTGTCTGGCATCCTTGCAGTGCGCTTGTCGTTCAACGCCTTGAAGGTACTGGGGCTGTTTCTTCCCGGGAAATTTGTCCAGGCAAATTCTTCCGAGCTCACAATGGCCAAGGCGCACCGTTAGATTACTTGGCGACATCATGTAGTTTCATTGAGTTCGTAATCAGTGCTAACGGCACAACGTTGACCGCTATAGTGATTTCGTTGCCCTCCATTTCGGCATAGTCCATGGTCAACAGGCTAGCATCCCTCAACACAGCGTCGAGTCGCTTCAGGCCTGGTTTCAATTTCACCAAAGTCCTGATGAATTCGTGACTAGCAAGGTCAAGCTGCCACGTCCCCGCCACGCGTTTTCGATCCTTCGTGTCTTTGATGGACTCCATGGCAGCTTCGCCCTTACCAAATCTTTCACTGCTAGTATGACCTTATTTGCGTCGAGCCGCGCGAAAAGGCTGGCTGCTTCAGAGCCTAGACCTCTTCATCTGCTCTGTCATTGCACAACCCTCCGCCTTTACTGTTTTGGCGAAGCGTTTATTGGCTCCAGTGACAATGATCATCTGCTGGAATCACTTCGTACTGGGTACGACAGTATAGCGAACAATTGATGGGAATGAAAGTTATATATGTGGGACATCATGATAGCCTACTTAAGTGACTGGGAATGGGGCATAAACAAAGTATGAGTGAAGGAAGGCGCTGACTGGTGGGTTAGATAAGCCGCGCCAAGCTGGAAAAACGTTCCTCCGAGCACTGTCATCCTAGCTTCTTGGCCTCCTTCGGTGGTCGTCTTGACTCACCATTGAAGCAAGAAGCGATGCTATCGATCAGATGAGTGGCAATATCATGTACGCCGGGGCTTCAAGGAACGGCGCTGGCATGTCAGTCATTCAGTCAGTGGAAGCAGAGGTAGGTACACCGAGGGCATGTATGAAAGGCATGATGGGCTGAGGGTGCTCTTCTATTCTACTGGGCTATCAGCCTATTCTTCTGGTGTCCCAGCCTAGACACCCTTTCCCATTCCTCAGACCTCCTCCTATCCAATCCATCTACCATTTTCCATGTTGCAGCCCAGATTCGACACAGTCAGGCAGTAACGGTAAGGTTAAAGCTACGCTGCATCAAGCTCGGCAGCTCAAAATCTGTATCCTTGCATCGATGGAGTTGCACGTTTTGCAAATATTGGTCACTGAACCACTCGAAGGATTCTCCGTGCACCACAAAGTTCGTCAGGCTCAGATTAACTATGTGAAATTCCTTGAGGACCTCCGTCTTAGTCTTGCCCTGCGCGACTTCTCGCATTGTCGGCTTGCATTGCGCATACTCCTGAGCTTCGGCAATGGCCTTCTTGTCCAAGGGTCCTGCTTCTCCTGCCATTTCTAACGCCAGATCTATTAATTGAGGGTTCAGCCACACCACGAGCCAAATGTACGACTGATACGACTGCATCATGCCGGTGATCTTCAGGGACCGCAGTTCTCGGTAGAGGCACAGCGGTGAAAGGTCTTGAGGCGGGAATATGTCGACCCCACTTTCGGGTCGAAGGAGGTCGATCTCGAGGTAATGCTTGTTGTGGTCCATCCGTATCAATTGGTCCTTGGAGAAGGTCACGAGAGATGAGCAGTGCTCTTTGACATTGCGATAAGGTGAGACCATGACGACTGGGGAGTCGGCCGTGAGGGTGCACTCGGAACCACTGTTTAACCGTGATTTTTGACTGAATTCTCCAGGCTGAGGCGTGGCTGGTGTGAACGTAACAGACGGGCCCTGGGGTTTAGATCTTGCGGCGTCGCTAGCTGGCTGGGTCACTACAGCCTTCTCGGGGCGCTTCACGAAAAGTTCATGTGAGCCGAGGGCTCCCTCACCCTTTTCAAGCTCTGACTTGGTCTTGTCGCGACGTCTCCACATTGTGTTCGATGTTCGTTTGATCGTGAAGGATGGCCGGAATAATTGTGAAGATGTTTGCTGTGACAAGCAAGTGTTCTGCGGATGAGTGCATACGTGAGTCGTGTGTCCCGATCTGATCTACAGTGTCACCTGGTTAAAGAGCCACCTGTCACCCTCCTCACCCCGTCCGTGCCGTAGGGCTGCCTACGAATACATTGAAGGTTTGGGACACTTCCCACAATGCATGCTTCTTCACATATAGAAACCTCTCTCACCCTTGATGCAGCGCTTCACAAAGAATACATCTTGTAGGGTTCTTGTGGCAATGATCCCTAAGATGCGCCCTGTTTCTTTGACTCTCTACAGGAAGCGAAGGAAGTAAAGCTACCTCACTCTGGACAAACGAGCCCTCGTTCGCCTCTCTCCCATATGCTCAGAAGCCTCTAAGGTCATAAGGCTAGCCATGTCTTTTGGGCCGTCTGAATGCCTTTTATTACGTTTTGCTGCCCGAAGTGGTCTTTGTTCGGATATGTTAACACCTTTTGTCTCAATTCAAGCTGTCTCATACCTTGCAAGCTCCATGCGGTCACGCGCGTGCGGTCTCTGTCCATATCTTGGACTCGAATTCAAATAAGCCGGCTGATTGATGTTTGACTCTGGTTACCTTTCACGACGGGGAAAGTGTGTGTTTCGCTGAAAGCAGCGGCTGTTGCCTACGTGTCTCACTCTGCGCTCCTACGCCAAGGAATGTGGGCAACTTTGCCTTTGTTTAAAATCTACCAGAATTTGTCGCATGCAGTAATCAAGACTTTTTGCAGGTGCCCCGCCAAAGGAGTAACACCTGGCGCATGACAGCCTTACTACTGGAACTCATTGCTCCCACAATACTTGCTCTATCTGCACTGCCTCCCTTCTGGCAACAGCCAATTTCTCGGCTCGACCACGCAACCTAAGAGAGCCCAGAGCCCAAGACTGCAAACTTGAGCATTTCTTCTGCTGTCGGAAACATGAAGCTACGACCCAGAGTCAAAGTGCCCACCGATAACAGCAATACCATGACCGCCACTGTTCCAGTCCTACCTTCAAACATACTGCGACTGCAGACCCCTCCAATCAGCGAGGTGAGCAACGCCGGAAGTACCGTTGCAGGAAAGAAACGTCTGTCTGAGCTTTCGTCGTCCATCATGAGTATATCCGATCCCGAAGAGACTATAGATTCAGTGTCCCCTACGAAGAACAGGCACAGGCCGACAATCACTGTCCCAGCAGCTCCACTGACGAAGAGAAATCTGGCCAAATACCAGGAGGAGATGACATCTGCTGTGGAGATTGCATCCGAACATGAACACTCGCCTCCACCGCCGACGACAAACACACGACTGACTCAAGCGAGAAACTACCTGATGACCGAGGGCATCATTTACGACCCTAAATTTGAAAGCCGGGGATTGCAGATTGCGGAGTTTCTGTATAGCCATAAACATGGGAAAGACAAATACGAGATCCAGCTGCGCAAGGAGGTGGCGCAGTTGCTTAAACACCATAACTTCCATGCGGCAGGATCATCGAAACAGCCGCCGCAACATTGGCCATCTATGACAAGAAGTGAAGCTTCTACGCCTGTCATGTCTCTTCCAGCAGAGGACGACCAAGATCCAGAGGAGCAAGCAGATTCATTCGAATGGAACAACAAACTCGACGACCTCACGGACAGGGTGACAAGGCGCCCAAGCGGCGGAAAAGAGGCCTTTGCATTCTCTGAACTGCGAGAGCTGGCGCGGCCTCTGAACGGCGGCCGTTTACCATCCCTAGGCAAAGCGCAGCGCCTCATCAACGAGCAAATGGTAAGGGAGAACCACGAGAATAGGTCTTCGAACCAGACCGATGACGACCGGCTTTGGGGGTTCGAAAAGTACCTACCGCCCGCGTCGAAGGAGAAGAAGTTCTCCCTGGACCGCTGGTCCGGCCACCCGCCAGGTCGCTCGAGAGCTGCTACGCTTAAGCTCGGAGAGGGCAATCTCATGCCGCAGGAGATGATGGATATCGATTGGGACAGGGATCGCGCTAAGCTGGAAGAAAGCTTGGTCGGCTATGACGATGTCGATAGAGGCGAAGCGCAGCTGCTGCTTGCGGAAACGCCGCTTTTGCAGGCGCTCATGAGTGATCAGATTGAGAGAGACCTTGCGCCAAGTACGTGATGCTCATGTACTAGTACAGACGTTAGGGCAAGAATCGCTGTGCTGATAGAATGGGTCGCAGGGTCGAAGAAAGGCGAAGGGATAGAGCCGGTGGCGAGGAAGCCTGCCGTGCTGATGACGCAGAAGTTCGCTCTGCCGAGGCCAGCCCAGTTCAGGATCGATGAGGCGGCAGGTCAGTCTGGCCCCGGTGCGTGCACGAAGCGTCGGCGTGTTTCCTAACAAAGCCTGCGGCAGAGATAGCAAAGTCCCTGAACATCCACCCCGACCCGCCCACCCCTTCGCCACGGACGGCACTCTTTCTCAAACGCAAATTCGAGCAGTGTTCGGATTCCGAGTCCGATGGAGACGAGGGAGAGGAGAGGCGACCGGAGCCCCCGGTCGGCGGAGGTGACGATGTACAAGGTGAGCGCGTGTGGGTGGACGAGACTGTTTCGTCTTCGGGATCCCTTGTGTGACAGGCCGGTTGGTGGTTATCCGGAGATGTCTGGGGCGCTGCAGGATTTGAAGGGGGATGATGAGTCGCATCTGTGTTCTGGTGACTGAGGACGATGGTGCGGAGGAAGGTTGGGGCAGCACTCTGGCGGTTCGGTCCGTGCTGTTGGTGGCATGTGTTGGTGGGAATTGGAAGCTGCTTCGCATTTGCACGTTGCGTGGAGGGCAAAGGGCCAATTAGGCCTTGGGGTCGATGGGGGCTGTGGTATTCGTGCACTTGTAGGAATGGACCACATACAACGCAAGACGTTCGTTTGCCGCTGAGATTTGCAACCTAAGTCTTATCAGTAGCTCAGCCAGTCGCGCGAGATATCACATGAGACTTGAACCATTCCATTGACTTTCAAAGCTTTGCATTTAGTCTCGCTACATGCATGCTACAGCAACATAGCGCCTGAGCCAATGACCGATACCATAACCATCTCACCTTCTAGTATCTCTTCCCTTCCCTGAGCACATCACCGAATTCCTCCAATGGGCTCCGGTTGAGCTTGGTTTCCTTCCACAGGTTCGGCGTCAGGAACCCATATGTGTTGCCTACAGCCACGAAGGTAGCCTTGAGGGTGTTTTCAAGGGTTTTCGTAGAGCCGGCGGAGGAAGTGTAGACATCTTGGACACCTGCGAGTTGGAGCAGACGCTTGACAGCTGGAGAAGCGACGAGGCCGGTACCGCGGGGAGCAGGGATGAGCTGGTTACCGATCAGTCCATCGCCCAATTATGGAGAAGATCATGGAACCTACTCGAACGGTAACGGAGCCACACTTGCCGCTCTCCTTCGTAGGTAGGGAATGAGGGTCACCAAGAGATGTACCCCAGTACCCTCTTCGAATCGGCAGGACACTCAGCTTCGCGATGATGATGGCGGCGCGGATAGCGGTGGCTACTTCTTTGGAGGTCTTGATGCCGAGACCGACGTGGCCTTCCGAGTCGCCAATGACAACAATGGCCTTGAATCGGGTACGTTGACCGGCGCGAGTTTGCTTCTGGACGGGCTTGATCTGTACGCCCACCAAACGGCATCAGCAATCTGCAGTCTCCTCCTTACTACTCCCTTGCACTGCTAAAGTGGAAGGTGGCCTCACCTTCATCACCTCGTCCTTCAACTTGGGCAGAAAGAAGTCCACAATCTGGTACTCCTTGATCGGCAACGAATGTAGATAAATCTCCTCCATGCTCTTGATCTTCCCAGCCTTGACCAAACGTCCCAGCTTCGTCACCGGCTGCCATTCCTTCTCTTCGCTCTTGTTCCCACCTCGGCGAGGCCCACGACGTCCTCCGCGCCCTCGTCCACGGTCTCCGCCTCGGTCGCCTCGAGAGCCGAAGCCTCCACGGGCTCCGCCTGCTGCTGCTCCTCCGCGAGGTGCGTCGGCCATGATTGTGGCGCGTGTGTAAGATAGTAACGTGGAGGTTGAGAGTGGTTGCGGAATGAGTTGTGTGCTGCGTGCAGAAGTTCGCGATTGCTTGAGCTTGGTGGGAGATGACCTGCACTAAGATTGTCTAAGCGAGCTGAAGTCTTGGCGCTCTTGGCGCTCTTGGCCCCCTTAAAAGCCTGCCTTCGCCTGCCAGTTAATTGGGCTCATACCACCCCAGGTTCAAGTACTCCAGTGGAAGTATGGCGGCATCAGACGTGGATGTTGGAAAGGGCTACAATTTGTGACTAGAACTCGTTCTTGTAAATCAAGCGAATGTGAAGCTATTAAGATGTACTAGACTCCAGCGCCCCTTTCAGCTTCTCAGGAGACAGCGCGCATGGGGAAGACAGGGAAGAGTCTGCTGGGTCATCTGCACTATCATGGTTTTCTGTTCTCGTCTCTGGCCCTTCGTAGCCAAATGTCCGCAGTCCTCGAGCATAGATCATCTACCCCTTGATATCATGATCCCATTCACCACTGTAGCCAATTATGAATGCTTTCCCTTTGTGCAAGCCTTGATAGTCCTGATGCAATGGCTCAAAATGCTGCTCCTGGTCAACGAATCCCGGTCTCCTAGTGTTCGCATGGCTGGAGTCGAGGTAGTACGAGACACGGACCCGCAATGGCCATGCCAGAAGCGGGTAATGACCAGAAGTCAGCGTGTCGTGAGATCTCCAGAGCACGGAGTTCTCCTTCCTGCTTGCCTCTTGACAAGCTATTCGGTGTAGAAGGCAACCCCGATTATCTTTTTCCCAGTGGCCATCACTTCATCTCTTTTGAACCTCCGAAACCCTCTCTCACTCCTCCGCCTTCTCCCTAGCAACCTGCCTTTCCTCCTCTTCCGGCGTCCTCGTCCGCAACTGAAGCGCGTGTATCCCTCCCGCCCTCTCCAGCTCCTCCTTCAGCAGAGCGTACACGA